AAGTGGTAGAATGAGAAACCTTATCATTGAGGTCCCTTTACACACACACCCCTATGTTACTGTTTTTCATCACTGTGACCAGAACACTTGAAAGAGGAGAGGCTTACTTTGGCTCATGGTTCCAGATGTCTTAGTCCATGGTCAGCTGACTCCATTGCTCTGGCCCTGAGGTGAGGCAGAACATCATGGTGGACAGTCATGGAGGAGGAAAGCTGCTTAGATAATGGTAGCTGGGAGTCAGTGGGTGGAGGAAAGTGATAAAAAAGGGCCAGGCAGAATCTACAGTTCAAAGGCATGTTCCCAGTGACCAGCTTCCTTCAACCATACCCCACCTACTTACAGTTTCCACCTCTCCCCGTGGTCCATTCAATTCATTATTCCATCAAATTCATCCATTCATTCATTGATGAGGATACAGCCTTCATGATCCGTTCACTTCCCCAAAGTCCCACCTCTGGACACTGATACATTGAAGACTGAGTCTTCAACACATGAGCATTTAGGGGATATTCTAGGTCCAAACCTTAACAGAAGGAGTGATAGATGGGTTTTGTGTAATTTTTTTAGACAAAAGAAATGACACCATGTCTCCTCTTAGAAATGACTTGGTATAGTCATGATGGTGCAGGGGAGAAGAAAGAAAAACATTCATTATTGGTTGGGTAGGTGAGTGCTGTGGCCTGGGCATTTGTGTCTCCAAAATTCATGTTGAAGGCTAATCCCCAAAGCATTTGTCTGAAGAGATGGGTCTTTATGAAGTAACCAGAGGTGAGGTGGAGGCTTCAAGAATGGGATTGGAGCCCTTATCAAAGGGCTTGATAAATGAGTTGGTGACACAGGTCTGTAGTCCCCAAGACTGGGGAGATTGAGGCAGGCAGATTTCAAGTTCCAGGGCAGCCTGGGCAACTTAGCAAGACCCTGTCTCCAAATAAAACATAAAGACTGAGCTTGGGAGTAGCTCAATGGCAGAGCGTTTCCCTGGCCTGACCAGAGGTGGTGTGTTTGATCCTCCATACTTCAAAAAGGGGTGTGGGGTAGGAGGAAGCCTGTTTGGCCCTTTTAACCCTTCTGCCACATGAGGACACAGCAAGAAGACACTATCTATGAGGAACAGGTCCCCATCAGACATTAAATCTGCTGCCACTTTTATCTTGGATTTCCTAGTCTCCAGAACTAAAAGAAATACATCCATGTTCAGTCTAAGGAATTTGGTTATAGCAGCCCAAGCAACTAAGACAATACGAGGAACAGTATCTTGTGAATAAAAAGAGGCATGGGCTGTGCAGAGCAGGGCTCACTCACCTGTGGCAAGAGGTAAGGCTGTCACACAGGTGATGTGGTGTAGTCTGTGAAGTCCCTTCCCTCCTCAATGAGGTGTTAGTAAGGCCCTCTGATTGTGAGGGTGGGATAGAAGGTGTTTGAAATTTGGGGAGAAAAGTGAAGGGATGAAGGAGAGCTGGGTGGTGAAGACTATGGAAATGAACTGAGGCCCACCTGTTTTGTTGTCACAAATATAAACTGATTTCAATTACAGTGCCTGTGTGTAATATGATGGCAGAAAACAATGAATCTGGCTTCAGTCTCTCATCCTTTGAATTTTCCCTTTCCCTCACTCATACCACCCCTCATTATCCTATTGTTCTTAAAGACTTGCTCTTAGAAAAAAAATACAGAAAATAGAGCATAGAAACAAACTGAAGACCAGGGTTCCAAATGTGTGCCCTGTGATGATGTGGAGTGTTTGACTTGTGAGGGGAACACAGCGGCACCTGCTGGACACTGCATGAACTGCTAGTTCAAGGTTGCTCTACTGCATAATCAGATTGTTCCACATTCCTTCTGTTACATAATTCTCTTCTCACACTGAGTTTTCAGCCATTGATAAAATAAAAGAAAATACTGCACAAGAATTAGTGTGGAATACACAATCTGATTCCAAAGTTTGAGGAGCTGTGTGGCATCCAACAGGCTCACATACCCCACACTAAGTAATTGTAATTAAGAGTTAAATTGTTAAAAATTTAATTTAAATTTATTTTTTCAAATAATCTAAGTTGCTAAGATATAAATTCTCATTAAGTTGTTTGGATTTAGCTACTTAATTGTTATTTATTTTGGCCTGTAGCTACAATAGAAATATATGACTCTGAATCATTATTAACTGAGAACATCTGGGAATCTCTGACTTACAGATGAATTCTTGTTGCTTTCTATTTCTTCCAAGTAATGAGTCAAAGCCCATGAGGGGTGTAGTTGTGTGCAGCAGGAAATCTCAGACCCAAATCTAAAACTTTCAATGTATAAATCATGACAAACATTCTCTCCACCTCACCCCAGCAACTTTCCTCATTACCTTAAAACTTGAGCATTAGTATCACTTCTGTTTTAATGGAATATGGCTACACCACCACCATCTACTCTGAGTATTTAAACCCAAGAAGAAACATGTACCTCTGTTCGCTGGAATCTTGCGTCTCTAAAAGAAGACTCGATTTGGATATTCATCCTTTTGTCAACATCCATTCCAAATTTGTAATTCTTGACAGATGGTTTAGTCTAAATAATTGTGGCCTCAGACCTGCTTTCTTTTCTCCATCTAAGATACCAGCAACACCTATGTGTGTGGTAATGAGATGGCAGCTGGCTATGTCGATGTGTGTGTGTGTGTGTGTGTCTGTCTGTCTGTCTGTCTGTCTACAATGGGATCAGCCTTTCAGGAGAATGTCTGCTTCTCTTCCCTAACCCAACTCCTGAGTTTTCCAAGTCAAGATTGTGCTTGTTAATGTTGGTTAAGTCCAATGCTCAGGACAAGGTCTGGCACATGGTAGATATTTGAAAAACTGTTGCTGAAATATGGAAATTAATAAACTAATGTTATCTGATTTTCAAAAGCATCTATACTGTAAAAACTAAACGAGTTCTAGTTTTAGGCCTCACAGATTTGTAAAATATTTTCACTGCCCTTAGTTAAAAGCATTACCTCTTTTTACTTTGACTTATCCTCCACATCTGGTTTCATGTCTGGTGAGGCTGGAGAAGTTGCAAACATTTTGGGATTGAGCTCAGAGCAAGCTGAGTTAGGATATATTTGGTTTATCGGTGAGCTATATAATAATGTGATTGACATTCACATATTTGGGTATAGAAACTGCTTCTAGGAGTCCTTCATTGCGAAGAACACATCCCAGGGAGGGACACAAAAGTGCAAGCTGGGCTATGTCATAGGGGGAACGCTTCCTACAGGACTTGGAACTGGAGGAAGGTGGGTAGCTAAGAAGATCTAGGTTAGGAAAGTGGGCTTTGGAAGATGCAGCCATTCATCAGATGTGTGAAATTATAAGCTGCTAAATCTTTCTCTTTGATCTAGTCAAAATGCATGTTCTCTTCTCACAGGAAAATATTTACAACGATATATGTTGACTACATATTTTTTTTTTAAACGAGAACTTCATGGTGTAGATTGACCAGAATTTTGTTTGTTAGATACAAATCTATGGCAGTACCACAAGTAGCAAGGACATCTGCGGGTGAAGTCACATAGCTGATGCTATCTAACTTACTGGTTTGCTTTACCACATCTGCCATCTCCTATTCTAATGAAGTCTGATGGTTCTAGATACCAAGTTGCCAGAGTTAGTGAGCGCGCCTGAATTTTCTAAATCATCAACGATAAATAACATCTATCAACCACTAGAAGACCAGATTACTTTTGATCTTTACATAAGTGACATTACAAAATTGTTTTATGAAGGTGATCAAATAGTCAAAAAATATAGGCAAATGACTATCCCGCAGCTAACTATGATGTTATTTTTCTGGACTTACAATGTATTTGGTTCAATCAGCTTTATAAAAATTGAAATGTGTGATTTCTTCTCTTGCTCTGAATAAATACACCTCTTTGTATCTAATTTTATTTTCAAGTTTTTAACTTTTTTTCCCTTTTGACAAATGGACATTTGATATTTTAGTGACGGTTCTTCACAACATAAGAACCAGTCACTCAATCCTCCTGTATCATTTGTGGTAAGAAATCAGGCTACTGAAATAGCCTCATTTGTTCTATTTTGTGACAGGCAATCTCCGAAAGAATACATTTTAAATTATGCTGTAACACTTGTGTATTCTATTTGGATTTTAAGAAGCAATTACTGTATTTTTAGATGTGATTATGGTTATATTAAAAATAGTTTACAGGGCCTGGGGTTGTGGCTCAGCGGTAGAGTGCTCGCCTAGCACATGTGAGGCCCTGGGTTTGAACCTCAGCACCACATAAAAATAAATAAAGATATTGTGTCAACCAAAAAATAAATATTAAAAAAATAGTTTACAGAGATATGCAATAAAATATGGACTAAATAACATATCTAGGATATGTTTCAAAATACTAGTGGAGGAGAATTGATGAGAAGTGAACAATGCAGGTTTGCTATAGGGTGATAGTCTGCAATCCAGTAAATTGGTACATACAAGTCTATCACACTATTGTGTGTATGTGTGTTTATGCGCACACACACACACACACACACACACACACACACACCCCTAGAGTTCTCTAGAATTGTTAGTATTAAGATATTCCATCTGGTTGTCAAACTCAGTGCTCATAACTCAGTATTTGTGCTCTATTCTGTGGCACTGGACACTGGAATCCTCACTGCCATCTGAAACACTCCCCCTTCAGCCTCTGTGCTCCTTCTCTCCTTACTCTCTAAACAGTCTCCATCTCATACATGGGATACAATTCCTCCCACGGGCCCTTCAGTCAATGGTGTAGGGTGAAACGGCTTCTAGGCTGCGGACCACTCCTCTTAGGATTGTCAGGCAGCAGCATCAACTAAAAGGAGAGTTTGGACATGGTAGGACTGAACCCAAAGTCACCTGCTCTTCCATCCTGGCTTGCCAGAACACACGCAAACTCTGCTGTGGAAATAAAGCCAACAACTGAGAAGACACTTCCTGAGGACATCATTTGACATTCTATTACTTTATTTGTCATGGAATACCACCAAGTGACCAGAGTTCCAATCCAGAGGAGTCTAGATATGATGACATATCAACTCTGATGAACTGTACTAAAGGACCCTGACAGTGACTCCAACAACTTTTTGGATGAGCTCCATATACTCCAAGGACTTGAAGTCTTTACCACCAGTGGAATTCTGAAGTTTCCCTTCCTTAAGGTTTTTTGAGGAATAGTCCAGCGAATGGTTTTGGGTATAATCTCCAGTGAATCTGCTGGTACACAGGCATAAAAGAAGGGCTGGTCTTGTTTTTTGTCAGAATGGAAGTTAATACCCATGTGATGAGTTTTTGACGATGATCTATGTTCGCTTTGGGAATAAGTTGATCCTTGTGAGTCATAATTATACACTTTCCTCTTTCTTGTGTGTATCTCTTTACCTGGTGTATGAATGTAGTTATGGTCCTGATGAATGTTGTTCTTTCTGAATAAATCAAATTTGGCTTTCTTTCTTTCTTTGCTTTCCAGGTACATGTGAGACTTGTCTTGGTCATTTTCAAGATGTAATTTCATATCTGACTCAGTTAAGGAAGCTACAGAGTACCCTGTCCTGCTCCCTGACGTCCACGAAAGCTGCTCCTCTCTGAGTGAGATGGAAGGAGACAGAGACTGAATGTCCACAGTATTAAGTGAGCTGGGAGAACAATCAAGAGGCTGCATTTGGAATATATTTGATCTATATTTCCTGCTTCTGTGCTTTTCACAGGAAGGTGGTTTCATGAGAAATGTATGTTTCCTACAGGCTCTAATATGATGGGAGCCCAAATCTTCCCTGCAAAATTGCTGCAAGTAAGTTGTGACTTCTTTCATCTTAGAAAAATTTTTCAAAGGAATGCCTTTCTGTAATTCCAAGAGAACGTTTTGTGACTCCCGACTTAAGTAAGGGTTGGTTTCTAAAAACATACATTCCTGACTCTCACGTGTCTCTTGGGAGAAGCACTTGTCCAGGTTAGCTGAACTCTCAGTATTTATCTGAATATCAGTATAATCTTCAGAAGTCTGAGTGGAATGCGAGTTAACTAAACCAGTATCGTTCTCCTGCATCCTTAAATTAAAAGGCTTATATGTATTTGTTTCTTGAAACCACATACTGTATTGTTTATCTTTTTCTGGAGTCATGTCAGATTTGAGCTCAGAAATAGCCCTAGAATCTTTCTGCTCCCTACTGGGTAGACCGGCGTCAGAGGTACACGTATGGGATGGCTCCAAGAACTTTCTGAAGTGTAATGAGTTTTTGTGGGGGTTTTGCTTTTTAAAAGAAATATGCTGTTCTAACAGTTCTGTGTCAAAGGAAAGAGAATGGCTTTCTCTACCATCACCTGCTTTTTTACATATTGAAATCGGGTTTAGTTTAAGAATGTGTTTAGGAAGTGCATTTGGCTTGGGGAACATACTCTCATCAGAAAGCCCCTGCAGAAAGCGGAGGTATTTGTATTGTAAATCAAGATCAATTTGATGAAGAGATTTTTCTTCAAAAAGTAAGAAAATTCTGTTTTTACGCTTTGGGACTTTGACAGAATGAATACAGTTAGATAAAGGTTTTGTTCTATCCTGGGCAGTGGCCACTGCACAAGATTCTCTTACAACTCTGGGAAGGGCTTTCATTTGTATTTCCAATATTTTCATAGAAAAGTGCATGACAAGTTTGTCTTTACCTTTGACTGAGTACTTCTGGAGAATATGAGGCAGTGGCATCTCACTAGTCAAAATCACTGAAGACATCTCACTTTCTAGGTTATTAATACTGTTTAACTTTGAAATGAGCTCATTGCTGCTGCTTGAAACATTAACCAGCAGTGTCTTCATACAGCTGAGAGGAGGTGAATCTTCTTGGTAATCATGTTTTAAGTTAAGTTCTACACTATCCACCCCTTCTGGACACATAAGACTCATTTGTTTATGCCGTGGATAGAGCCTCCAACTGTTATTTTCAGGAATAGCCTCTCTGGGACAAAAGTCAAACATTTGTAAGGATTTTTTTGCCACCTCTGGCATCAGACTCAGTTTTATTTCAAGTGCTTTTGACCCCAAATGATTGGTGAGTTTATTTTTACCTTCAGGATTAAAATGTCTTAAAAGGGGTTTGTGCTGCGGTTTGGAACTCACTATTGTTGATGTTGTATCTGGACTCTCTGGAAAAGGGGGTGACATTGAGTCATCAGACTTCCCAGCTTGCAATTTGTCCAGTTTCTCAGAAGAAACTTTGTCTTGGATCATACTTTTTACCTGGAAGTCAAGGGCAGCTTTAATTGCTTCATAAATGAAAAATAAACTTTCTGCACTTGTAGCACTTGAAGGTGTTTTGGTCTCGTCACTTGTAACTTGCAGTGATGTGGGCACAGTTCCTGGAACAGCTACTTGCTGCTGGACCTCTTGGGAGGTGGTGTCCCATGCTGGTTCACCCTGATCTCTGTGCTTAGGAAACAAGGAACACCCCCTGGCATCAAGAGGAGTCTCATACTGTGGTTCTTCCTCCTCTAGAGATGGATCATTCACACTTATGGTCCTTCTCATGTGAGTCTCCACAATCTCCTTTGGACCTTTAAACATGGATGGATGCTCTGTGGGTGTCAGAATGCATTCTGGTATCTTTTCTTCTTGCTCAATCATATGTGAATCAGGTTTTTTTATGCTCCTTGGGGCATCATGACTTGGAATAATCCTTTTCTCAGTTTGTGGAGTTTTCTGACCTGTTTTTTTACTGACTTCTCTTTTCCTACTTGTTTTACTCTTGAGGCTTGCTTCTGACTTACCATGAGAATGCTTCTGCATTTGTTGTTTGTGCACTGCAAAGGGTTGAGACTTCTGGGGAACTGTGTCTTTAAAATTTCGTTCCCTTTTTACAACTGTTGAGGTGTCTCTCTTGACAATTTCACCAGCATTTGGTGATTGCCCCCAGAATTTAGAAAGACAAACTCTCTTTTCCCGTTGTCGGTTTGTCTTAGATTTTACAGTTTCTTCACTTTGTGGCGGACTCTTCATGGAAATACGAAGACGTCTGATAAATATTCCTGGGGCATCTTTATCACAAGAAACTTCTCTATTTGGTTTGTTAAACTCATATTGCAATTTCATCCTATTGCTTGGAGAACTACGTCTTATGGAACCAAGAATCTGTAAAACTGGGTGATTTGGGACTTTCATAGTTAAGTGTCTGTGGTTTAGTTTTCTTTCCAGATCTGCAATTGTCAACTTGCCTTTCTGGCCTTTGAAGGAAAGAGGAATATAGGCATAAAGTGAACCCAGAGTGTTTCTTTGAAGTGGTTTTTGTACTTGAATGTTTTCTTTTACCTTAGACAACCCTAGTTCCTCTTTGTGCTTTTGCTTGATGGGGCAGATGTTTTCCTTAGGTGTGATTACCGGAGTCTGGCTCTGAGACTCCTCTGTTCTTGGAGATAAATCATGAAGGCTTGCAGGACGGTTTGAGGCTGATCCTGTGTCCTCCTTCTCCAGACTGACAGAATTATTCTTGTGCATTTCCATTTTGTTCTCTTTCAGCTGTATAGCTCTCTGTGTGTGTACTTTCAATTTCCCTTCTTCCTGATTCACAGTAATGTCACTGGCCATCTCTAACTTCTGTTCCAAATGTACTGTGTTAACTTCACCTTCTTCCACCAGAAGTTCAGATTGAAATTGAAAAGTACAGAGTGGGTTAAAGGACTCTATAATACATTCCTCTTGTTCTGAAACCAGTAATGCCTGACTTTCTTTTCCTGTCATGTCATCACACTCTGTAATATCCACGTGTATTCCTGGTAATATTTGTAGGCTGGAGTCTGCTGTAGTTTTTTTGTCTACATCTATTTCCAACGGTGTCTTGTGCTTTCCATCCTGAAGTGGAGACTGAAGAGAAAACACAGAATTTGGCCTGGTCTCCTGTGTACTCTCAGACAACGGCACTGCTTGCTTTTCCATGATAACGCCTTGTTCTTTATTTTGAGATGTACCTAACTTGGTGCGATTTATTTTTTCAAGTGATTGCTTTGTCTGTGGTGCTAACACTTTGGGAGAAAACATTTTGCTTATTTTATTATTACTTTGTACATCTTTCTCTGGCATATCAAATTCACATGAATCCACATATTCTAGAGACACTTCTGATGAAATTTCCTGTTGGTGGGCATCTCTCTCTGGAAAAGAAATTCCTTTTGAACCTATGTGGGTGCCAAATTTGATATATATTTCCTTGGATGTTTCCCTTGGCAGGGAAGCTGAAACCCTAGGACTTACTTTCTGATTTATGTTACATGTTATTTCAGTTTTCTTCTTCAGATTTCCAATTTTAATTGCATCCATTGTGTGGTAGGAATAAAACATACCATCAGGTTCTCTGCATCTTTCTGGTTGAGCCTTTTGTCCTGTAAAGTGCAATTCCACTCTTCTCTCATTTTGTGTTGTACCAAATCTTGTGAAATTAACGTTCTCATCTTTTGAAATTAAATCTCTTTCTGATTTAACCTGTGGTGCGTCATTCCTTTGCTGGGCTCCAATCATGAAGTCTGAGGCCCCCTGTTGCTCCGCCTTTTTCTGGGGCACACCCTGTTTCCTTTGCTTCATGGTGTTTTTACTATCATCTTCAACTGATTCTCTGAACGCTCTTTTCTGGGCATCTAATAAATCCTGGAGATTCTGTTGTGAATGAGAGGGTCCTGACGTTCTTGCTGAGACTTCCTCTACTTTTTTCCCTGAATCCGGAGAAAGGAGAGGTGCTGATGGTATGGAAAGAAAAGTCCTTGTCAAAACCACACGTGATTCATCTTTTCCTTCATGCACTTTTTTCTCCAGCACCTTCATATTCAGTACAAACTCCTTCATATTAAGGATATGTGAAATGGGTGAAATCCTTGCCTCTTTGCAATGCACCCCGATCCTCATATCTACTGTTTTCAGTTCATACCTTTTTTCTTTCCATGACATCTGTGGGTCTCTTTGCCTTACATCACCACCTAATGCCTTTGTATGTGCTATTTTCTCTGCATCTGATAGTGCTGAACACATTAGTGGCAACAGAAATGTTTTATTTCCAAGTTCTTCTTCATTTACTTGTGTATCTTTATCCAGTTTAGGGTTGGGTGGAGAAGGTTTGAAAGCATAAATTTTTCTCGGGACTATACCTTGTGGTTCACCTGGACCTTCATGTTCTTTTCCTTTGTGTCCTCTGACAATCATATGCAGTTCTGATCTATGGAGTTTATGGGAAGAAGGTGATTTCTTTGACTTCAAAGATGTATCTATGCTTCCCTTACCTACTGTTTTCCCTCTATCTATCATTTCTTTCTGAAGCATATGTTGTTTTTCACCTTTAACATCTTTCATGGTATCATTACCAACTGACCCTGTAGGTACTGTTTTCCCTGCACTTGATATTTTTGGCAAAGCAGACCTTGGAAGTCTTAGCAGTTCATCATCTATTTCTACTTTGGTATCCAACTTGCGCTGAGGCAGAGTTGGCAATGAAGCTGAAGGTTCCTCTGGACGTTCCTGCACCTTCCTTTCTTGACATTTGGGGAACATGAACTTTATTATTTGTACTCCATCCTCTTCCTCATTCTGTTGGACATGATGTTTTCCTTTTGGTAGACAAATTAAAATATCACCAGTAATTGGCTTTATACATATGCCTCCTTCAGAATTCAATGATTCCTGGAAGTTTACTATGGAAAAAAAGGATCTTGCCCACGCTGGTGTGCTTTCTTCCTTGATCCCAGTATTCACATCAGGCAGAAGTGGAGATTCAGCAGAAGTCTCATTGGGCACTATATCTGCCTCACTTTTAACGTCTAGAACCTTTTCCTCTTGCTTTCTAGATTTCCCTTGAAGGTTACCTAATTGTGTATGTAAAATACATGATTTCTTTGTCTTCAAACAAGTGTCCTTGGGATCCACTATGACATTCATACCCACAACTTTTTCTCCTTCGTTTTCTTTCTGTAGCATATGTTCTTTTAATTCTTCTACCTCATTTGAAAGTTTTCCATCAATTGTTTCTGGATATGCTAGTCTCCCTGTACTTGATTCCTTGAACTGCCTAAGTGAGAGAAATGATTTTATAATTCTGTTTGCCAGACCCACCAGTAGTTTAGTTTTATATTCCTGCATTTTTTCCTTTTGTTCCTTGGTTTTCCATGGCAGTGCTTTATTATTGAGTGAATATGAAAGTGATGATTTCTGTACCATCACATATTTGGGGAGCTTGATGTCTTTTATGTCTATTTTGAATCTATCTTTTTCTTCTTGCTGTGCTATGGACTGTACTGATTCTTTAATGCTGCTCAACATGTAACTATCTAATGACTCGGTACATGATTTTTTATCTGAATCTGATGCATCTTGAGTCGTTAATGGTGGAAAAGAGAACTGTGTTCTTCCAAGGGTTCTTTCCTGTTTTTTCATTCTAGTGTCCTGCTCCAGGTAAGATGGAAAAGGTAAAGAGCTTTTCCTCAGAACCACTCCTGGTTCCCTTTTGCCTTCTTGCTCTCCTTTCCTTTCTTTTTTAATATTCAAAGGTAGTTTCCTTCTATCGTATAGATGTGGATGCGGGGATGCCTCTGTTCTCACACTTATTATACTACTTTCTGTGCCTTTTATTTTCACTTTGTCCCTTACCTCTCTGCATGGCACACGCCCCTTTGCTCCTAATGTTACATTACGTGAGCTAACACCTTCACGTAAACCAGCATGTCCAATTCTCCCTATATCTAATAATTGAGGAAGCTTTGCTTGTGAAGGAGCAACTCTGTGGTGAGATGGAGATGGTATGGAAGGACATATTTCTGCCTGAACCACATTAGGATCTCTTGTTTTTTCTTGTTTCAGTCCTACTTTTCCTATAATGCCCCCCTGCGCTTCCTGAGTGTTGCGCAGAGCACTGTGCTCACAGATATTGACCACATGAGAAGATGCTGAGGTCTTTGCCTGGAGAGCTGTGCCACTGGGGCCTATCAAGCCCCTTGTGGCTGAGGGTTGTATTCTGCCTTCCTCCTGTGATAAACACTGTTTTCTTGGCTTTGCATGGCTTTCTTTCTTTGCACAGCTAGAAATGGACTCTGTAAGTCTTATTTGTCCTGAAGGAAATGATACATGCAGCACAGGATGTGGTACATAACTTTTTATTTTTCCTGGTTCATCTTCTTCTTTTATTGTGTCTAATTCAAAGAGAGGTAAAGAAGTGATAAAAGAGTAAGTTTGGTTGAGAAGAACATCTGTATCCTCATTTCCTTCCCGTCTCTGTTTGTTTTGCTGTGTGATGTTCACCTGCAGTTTCTTTATTTTCAATATATCATCAAGGAGTGATTCCTTTGCCTTCCCAGATGTGTCCTTGGGATACATTATGCTTTTCTTTAAAACATTTTCTTTATCCTCTTCTCCATGTGTCATGCATTTTGTTCTTCTTGAATCACTGGAGATGTCTTTCAAAGGTGACACTTTATAATTCAATTTCCCTACAACTGTAGATTCCATGTGGTATGAAGGGGGAAGAAAGGACCTTGATACTTTTTGTTTTTGTTCTGTGACTTCTATCCCTTTGTTTGATTTACAGTGAGGTAAAGGAAGTACCTCATCTAGTTCATGTTTTCTTTCCTGTACACGTCCCAATTTTTCATTTACGTTTGTCTGTCTTCCAGTTTTTGGGTCACCATGGCCAGTGATACTGGGTTCATGTGGAAGTGATAATTGATCTGCCTTGAAAGTCACATCCTCAGGGTGTACTCTATGTTTCATATTTACTGTGTTTTTTCTCTCCATCTCTTTCTGGGCCTTGTATTTTTGTATGGGTTTTACATCATGTGATTTCTCCTCCCCAGTTGATTTTGTATGCATCATCTGCCTGCTGTCAGATAATTTTTGGTCCTGTAATGGTGAAATAGCAGATCTTGTTATTTTGTGCGTATCTTCTTTTCCTGCCTTATGATAAATCAGAGGAGGTTCGGAAGGCATATGTACATGGGGAACCATTTCCTGCTCACTTCCACTTTCTTGGTCTATTTTTCCTTGCTTTCTATTGTTTTGATTCACTTCCCCTTGACCTTTGCCTTCTTGATCCCATTTGTCCTGGGCTTTACCTGCTGCAACTGCTTTCCCCTGTTCTTGACGACCTTTGTGGACTTTCCCTTGTCTTTTGCCTTCTGGATCTGTTTTCCCTTGCTCTTTAGAATTTGGTGGTAGGTCTTGTGAAAGTGCTCCATTTCCTTCCAAACCTTTGGCTTTTGGATACATTGTGCCTTTCTCAGCTAATTTCTTTACATCATCCTTTTCTGTCTGTGGCATAAATTCTTTTAATTTTTGTGTACCACTTGTGATATCACCCTCAATGGACTCTTTGCTTGGTTTTCTCACTGCATCTGATGATTTCTGGTAGGATAGTTCTGGAAGAAAGTATCTTCTCACCTCAGTTCCATGGTTTGTTTTTCTTCTCCTCATATCCAATTTTAAATGAGGTGGTGGTATGTATGTATCAGTACTGGTCAAAATCTCATTTGATTCATCTTTAACTTTTGGCAGATTTTTATCTTGCTCTTTGATGTCTAACTGAATTTCCTGTGAAATTGCCAATGATTTTCTTTCTTTCAAAAGCATTACTTTTTCCATTTTTACACTTTCCTCTTCTTTCTGCATTGTAACTACTACAGCATTTTTTACACTGTTGGGGGTAGGATATATATTTTGCATGTATTTTGCTCCTTTTATACTGCTTAAGACATCATCAATTGGCTCCTTATATAGTTCCGTTCCATCTGACAATTCCTGGAGTGTCAATAATGGAAGACAGAACCTTACGATTCCTTGCATGTATAGATCTTTTATTGTAGGATCCCATTCTGGGTGAGGTGGAGGAATGGAATCCCAGAGTTCATTCTGAATTATGTCTTGATTTTGTTTATCCTCCTGCATAATTTTCTTTGTTTTTTTGTTGGACCACTGTAATTCCTTCCTATTCACTAAGTGTTTAAAAGGTGAATTCTTTCCCTTCAGAATGATATATATGAGGCCAATTATATCTTTCAGATCTACTATATTTCCTCTACCTCTCCTTTTCTTCTGTAGCAAACATTTTGATTCCATTATGTTATTGAAGCGATATTGAGTCATTGACTCTAAATATGATATTCTTCTGATATTTAACGATGCCTGGGGCTTTAGTGGTGGAAGGCAGCCCTTTGGTATTCTTGATTTATCTTTTCTTACTTTTATCCTAGGATTCAAATTAGAATGTGACAGAGTTGGTAAAGAAGCATAGGAGAGTCTTAGATCCACATCCAATTTACCTTTATCTTCTTGTACCCTGCTTTCTGGTTTTATAATTTTCAACAGTGACAAGTCCTTTCTGTTGAGCATATGTGACAGTGATTTCTCTGACTTCATTGTGAAGTATGGGTTCATTTTTTCTTCCATTTCCAGAGCTTTCACTCTATCCTTCTCTTCCTGTGATATATGTTGTTTCCTTCTTTTTACATTTGAAGTAGTCCCATCGATTTTTTCTTTATCCAATTTGAAGTGAGGTAAAGAAAGCATGGGCTGATATGTTTTTTTCACATCCAAATCTGGATCACCCTTTCTGGGTCTTGTACTTACTGTTTTCTCTTTTACATTCCACTGCCCTTCTACTCTGTTGCTTGGGGTATCAGAGTGAGTGACACTGGAGAGATTCTTCAACTCTAGAGCTTTTCTTTTGGGGCATATTATGTCTTTCATAACACCTTGTTTTAGGCTATCCTTCTGTCTTTGACTTTCACGCAAAACAGACATACATATAGACAGAGAATGTAATAGTATTCTAGGTAGATGCACCTTTCCTGGAATTCCCCTATGTGATTTTACCTTCATTCCAACTCTTAGTTTGGATGAACTTCCATTTGATATTGTCTCTGTTACTGGTGCCCCATATGATGATTGCTTTTTTTCTGAAAATAAACCAGTCATGTGTTTCTTAGCTTCTGTGCTTTGTTCTACAGGCATTTTGTCTTGTTTTCTCATGTCCCTTGGAGTAACTGGAGACATACTCTGTTCTAGTCCACACTTATATGCAGTGCTTGGTTGATCTGTAGAAAACAGATTTTGTCCTTCTACCCTGCTTAATGCACTACCCACTTCTGCTAATACCTCTCTTGTTAGAGGAATTGAATGTGGCCAGAGACAGGGATACTTTTGAGGGTAAAACATTCGCTCCTTCAAGTTCTCATAGGAAATTGATAGGTCCTGCTGTTTTGGTGCTTCTTTCCTTTTTTGAGTATATTCATTTGTAACATCCATTTGCTTTAATGTTTTCCTCATCTGTGAAGCTGAAGAGTCACAATGCATGATATTTACAGCATCTAGCATTGGACTATCATTTTCAGATGTGGACTGTGGAAGAGACTTATACAAACTTTTTTTCTTTTGCTGTTTTCTTTCTGTAGTCAAAGTGTGATAGCATGGATTATCTCTTGCATTTAATGTTCTCTTTACCTGCAAATTAAACTGATATGTACCCATCAGAGGATGAGTAACAGATGTTGGAAAAACCGTGCATATACTCTCTTGTAGATGTTCTTCTGTTCCTGTAATAGGCAGATTAATTCCTTCTGTACATGGAGGTTGATCTTCCAGAACACTCACTTCATCTGATGCTTTTTTCAAGACTTCTGGCTTTAGTATTGCTTTTGCTGAGGTTTGTTTCTTTGCATTTTCAATATGAAGATGATGTAATGTGTGAGAGAAAATAGATTCTAAAATCTTGTCTTTGTGCTGGTTATAAGTAGTCAGTTGCCTTGCCCTCAATTTTTTTGAAAAGTCCACTTTCTGTCTATTTAATTTTAATAGATTATCAGTTAATTCTGTTTGTTCTTTTCCCTGTTGATTTACACTGAAACTTCGAGAGAGCCTACCATTTTCTTTCCTTGTATTTACTGCCTGTTTTAAACGAAGAGGGTCCTTACTGGGGCAAGATGCAGAATCCATACTTTCAGGTGTATGACTTGGTTTCACATGTCTTCTCTGCTCTGTACAAATTTTGAATGGATCCTTTAGCTTTGAATAAAGAAATTTCTGTCCTTTGGAATCTATTAAGATATCTGTTTCCTTTAATTCTTTTCTTCCCAATAGATGTGAAATATTTTTTCTGTTAACATGCATATCTTCCTTAGCTACCTGTCCTGTGTTTTCTAAATGAAGAGGTTCTCTAATGGGATAGGAAACAGATTCCATGTCTACCAGGAAAGTACTTTCTTGTTTCCGTGATTCTGGCTTTTTATAAGTAAATATATTCTGTCCTTCTGAACTTAATGAAATATCTGTTTTCTTTGCTCTTTCTTTCCTGGGTGGAACTGAAACTGAATGTTCAGCAACATCTGCAATTCTTTGTTTCTCTCCTTGTGCAGTGAAGAAATCAAGTTCTGTATCTGTTCTTGGTTTTCTGAGCCTACCACCACTAATTTCTCTCTTCTGTGAAAATATAACAGGGTGTATTTCTTTTTCCAAATCCACTTTTAATTTGTCATGGTCAAGTCCAATGTAATCAGTTTCATCTTTCTGTGAAATGGGCTCAAGACACACCTTTCTTTCCAAATATTCTAATTTGACATGAGGATGCCTTTTCATTTGTTCTGACCTAATCGGTAATTGTTGTAGGTATTGCTGGGGCATGTCTACTAAAGTGCATTGGTGGGTTTGTTCTTTTCTAATATTCTCTTCTGGTTTTTCAATTATGCCGGCCATGTCAACACATTCTGACAATGATATCTGCCTGTCGTTTAGTGGTTTCTCTGGCATTAGCTGTAAAAAAGTGTTTACCCCCTTCTTCAACTTGTCTTTCTTCATTTTTATTTCTATAGGCTTTTTATTGGAAGACACAGGGGATCGAGAGTCAAAATCAGCTTTCAGAACTGGGTTTGTTGCAGCTTTACTCAACTGAAATGCTTTCTCCTGCTGAATGTTTCCTCCCTGCTCCTCCTTATTGTTTCTTGAACCACATCCAAGCATCCAGGAAACTCGTGTTTTCTTTGCCTTCAGTTGTACCTGTTTGGTATGTCTAGCATTTTTCACATATGCTGTTTCCACCGTACAATTGTGTCTTACAATTTTAGGATACATGGGTATGAAGGCATAAGGAGAACTTGAGATATTTCCTGAGATAACAGGCTCTTGCTGTCTCTCTTGCAGGGCAAAGGTTTCAGGATTTGTAATTGTTTCACTGTTTGCAGTCTGGAATTCTTTCTTCTGGATTTCAATTTGAAGAGGATTTATATTAGAGAAAGAAACCGACTCTGGACTAAGCAACTCCACAGGTTTTATCTCTTCTTCTTGATCTATTAAATAAATTTCTATTTTTTGAGGAGTGATCTTCTTGGGGCACACTGTATCGAATGAACGTGCTTCTGAGCTGAAAGGATCACGCTCTCTCAATTGATCTGCTCCAAATTCGACTGGCTGGATATCCTGCGGAGCTGCTCTAGACAAAATCTGTTGTTCATATTCCTCTTTTTCCCTAAATTTTTCTTTGGGCTCTTGCTGTTTCTCTTGCAGGGCAAATGTCTTGAGATTTGTTACCGTTTCACCATTTGCAGTCTTGGATTTTTTCTTCTGGTTTCCAATTTGAAGAGGATTTACATTAGAGAAAGAAACCAACTCTGGACTAAGCAACTCCACAGGTTTTCTCTCTGCTTCTTGATCTATTAAATAAATTTCTGTTTTCTGAGAAGTGATCATCTTGGGGCACACTCTATTGATTGAAGGTGCTTGTGAGCTGAAAGGATCAGGCTCTCTCAATTGATCTGCTCCAAACTCAACTGGCTGGATATCCTGTGGAGCTGATCTAGACAAAATCTGTTGTCCATACTCCTCTTTCTTCCTAACTTCTGCTTTATTAGGAGCATTTCCCCTCGAAGATTTTTCACGTGTATCCCTGGCATATGTAGCACCGTGTAGCATTGGCATAGAGGCATATACAGATTTTACTTCAGTACTTGGTACAGCCTTTTGTCTCTCTACTTTTATCTTTTGGGTTTCAAAATTCCACTTCGGTTTCTCAGTAATGCTTAGAGCAGCATGACCTGCATGATTAAGTGGTTGTGAAACTGCCAATCGCTTTACCTTTGATATTATGCCTTTTGGACTTGTGATAACTATGTTTAGATTGTCAGTCTGTCTTTCAATTCCTTCTGACACAGTTAAATGCCTGCCAACAGAATCTATGGTTCCAGCCAAATGGTATGGAGCTTTTTCTTTTAAAACAGATTGGTCAATTCTCTTTTGATCATATTGACTAAATATAGCATCATCTTTTGGTTCACCTAAATCTGCAAAAATATGTGGTTTCTCCATCTTGGAGTGTCCAACTCCGAAACTTGCTTGCACATTTTCTATGTTTTCTACTTTGACATTTTTTCCTGGATCCCCTTCATACACCTGTTTTTTGGGGAAAAATGATTTTCCTAGAAGAATGACTTCTGATTTGCCAGGATCGGGTACTTTTATGGGATGTGCATTTATTGTTAAGCTTTTTATGTAGAATAAGTCAGTTTTTATTGGAGGTTCTCTTTTCTTTTTCCCACATTCTCCATCATGTAATTCTGTTTCCCTTAAAAAGCTGGAGGTACTGCTCTGGTCAATGGAATTGGAATGTGACAGGCCTCCGGCTGGCGACTGCTGTGTTAGCTGTGTGTGACTAAACCTTGGTACTGTCACGTCTGCCTCCATTTCTAACTTACATTGCTTTCTAATGTCAGAGGTATTTGGTGCAAAGCAACGGGTATTTGGAAATGTGCCAGTCATGCTTCTACCTTGCCACATTGTTTTCATGCTGGTTCTTAAACTAGATTTAAATTTCTTGCTATGTTTTGTGCCAAAGTGTCTAATGCTTTTAAGTATCTGTGAAACTGGTGGCTTCTCTTCCTCTGTAGCCAAACACCTGGGATTCAATATAGTTTCATTTTCTGACAATTGTACTGTGCTTGCCTGGCTTTTAGAGTCAAAGAAACCAGGCATGAAAAAATCAGAAGGCCCCAACAAAGTTTTGGTTACATTTTCTTCTAACTCTGCCTTTTCCTCTGGAATATGACCTACCACAGTTTTTTGAAATGTTCTGTTGGACTGGATGCCCCTCACAGTTGTATCCAATGAGAGCTTATCAATCATTAATTTGAGGGGAAGACTCTTAGCATCTTCAGAGGCCTCAAGTAATACTTCTCTGACACTAGCATACCACTGCACCTCTCTCAGCTTGTGCTTTATGTTGTACTTTTTCTTTCTATGGCCTCCCATGGGATACCTTGAGATATTAAGCAGTTTTGAAATTGGTGGTTGTTTTGCCTTCAAAGTTATATGCTTAGGACTCAGTATACTTTTTTTGCTTACAAAATCTAATGTGTAGGTCTCACTTTTAGATTCATAAGATACAAAGCTGGAGAAATCTAAAGGTTTTAAAGATGTTCTTAATAAGTCTTTGTGATTGTATGCCTTTTCCCCAGAAACTGGATAATCATATTTCTGTCTAGCATTTCCATCCCAGGGCAAATCAGACACTGTTGAAATGATCTCTAATTCCTCTGCATTTGGAGATGATGTCTTTAGACCTGCCATAATTTTTACTTCTTCCTGCATATGAGGACTTCTTTGCATTGTTTCAACTTGAAAATTTATCATGTGTCCAGAAATAGGCTCCAAAATAGTTTCTTGAAACTGGTGGCTTCTCTTAAACACATCTTCTTCTTGAAGGTGTGCTTCCTGTGCTATATAGGACAAATTCTGAGTCCTTCTGCCTTCTGACCTCTTCAGATCAGACTCTGATTTGTGAGAATCAAGGGCTTCCGTTTGATATACACTGAAGCTCAAGTGCTGGCTGCAGTGTGGACCAGACCCCGATGGCACGTCTGAGATATCCTCCTGTGTCTCTGCGTGTAGCACATTCATTTTCACTGCATCACTAGGTCTGTTTTGCAAACCAGTCAAACTGTTTTTTTGTGTGTCTTCATGTGGCAACTTCTCTACCTCTGGATGGGTTTGATGGTATACTTTTACTCTTGGTTCATCCATCTCAGTTTTTGAAGACCTATGTACTTCACTGTCTACTTTGGTACTAGTTGAGACAGGTAAAGGAAACAAAAATGTGTGAGCTCTACTTTCATTTTGTTGGTTGTCTTTTAGCAAAGATTTTACATTGCATTCCTCTTTCCCCCTATGGTACAGATTGCCATGCTTGATGACATTCATCATTTGTGAACAAACAGGCTTCTTTGCCTTCATAGCTACACGTTTGGGACTCATGAGAGCTTGACTTTCTGGAAATTTCAATACATCTCTCTGCCTTCTGGCATCAGATAAAGAAGACACCATTCCCAATGTTAGGAAATCTCTTTGCACCTCATCATCTTTCTTAGCTATATGACTACCCAGTTTCTTTAAAGAAGTTGTATCCCATGGATTGTCAAACACTAAGTTCCCTGAGTTGATAGGTAGGATATTTTGATCAACTGTGTATTTTATAACTTTTGGTGCACTTACATTTTTCTCTCTTTCCTCACATTGTGGGGAAACTGCACTGTGAACCTCTAGCATCCTTATAGGATCCCCATTAGATATTGTATTATATTCTATTTCATCAATTAAAAGTTCATCAAATATTGCCCTCTCTGATTTTGGACATGGAAACTTTTCACTTATTTGATGTAGTACGTTTTTTTGAAGTGGAATGTTCTGTAGATTTTTAATTCGAAATGAAGTCACTAGAGGAGAACAAAAAACCTCCAGAGTATTTTCTGAAACTGTTTTTTGCTGTATATCTTGCTCTGGAATAAGCAGACTTTGGCCTTTTCTATTTTCTGCACTCTTCAGGAATTGTGGACTTGCTTCAAGTAAAACTTCTTTGCCCTTTCTTTCTTCTTCATTCTGCCATCTTGTTTCTAATGTGTTGCTTGACACAGTCCATTTATTAGAGGGATCTATATATAATCTTTTCAGTTCATCTTGCTTTAACTGTGTAACATTGCTTGTTTTTCTTAATGGGCTTCTTGTTGATTCAGCTTTTTTATGCATTTTGATGCCAGGTGAAACAAGTGTGGGAAAAACGGTATTCATAAATTTATTTGATATATCTTGACATGTTTCTTTGGTCATGTTTTTCAAGATGAGTTTCCTTTTCTTTCTACAACTAAGGGCACAATATCTAGTGATATTACTTCTCTCAAAAACTAATGGCATCTGTGTTTTCCCAGTTATGGATTTAGCAATTTGTACTGCATTTCTTTGCCCTTTAAATTCAAACGAAGTAGGCATGGAAAAATCAAGAGGCTCTAGAGTTCTATCTTGTAAGTCCTTTTGCAAACATACCTTTCCCTCTGCAGTAAGACTAGCAAATTCCTTCCCAGTGCCTCTTTCAAATGGGATATGACCATTTGTTGTATCAATTAAAAGTTCACTAACTGATTTTTCTGCCATTGGAGATGAAATCTTTCCACTCCATATATCTTTTAAGTCTTTTTGTGATTTTGTTCTTTTTGGTAGCTTCTCAAATGAAAATGTATTTGCAATAGAATTTAATCTACTTTGTTCGGCAACTATTTGATGCTGCAGCTCTAGAGGTGTAGAAAAGACGTCTGGGATTTTGTTGCTTGCTGAAGTCTTCAGTTCTAGATCTGATTGAAAGTTAGTTGCCTTTATTCCATGAGCACTGAAGCTGAAGTGTTGGGACACCCGCAGGGCTGTCTCTCCACCTTGATCTATTATATCTTTAGTGCCATTAGGGCTCGTGTCCTCGTCACCCGGATGTGCATGTGGGTTTGTCTTGTTGTGTGCTGACTGCTCTTGCTGTTGTAACCCATTGCTACTCTGTGTATTCCCCAGCCTCTTGGTCTCTTCCACTCTGTCACATACTTTTGTGTCAAGCAGCACAGGCATGAGGAAGCCAATGGCATTTAGGAATATATCTGCCACAGGTTTACCTTGTTTAGTTGTTGTTTCAGGGTTGAATTGCCTTCTTTGGCATGGTGTGTGACGTCCTGTGATATTAAATGTCTGGGAGAATGGTGTCTTCTTTGCCTTCAAAGTGATGCATTTTGGTCTCATCTTATGTCTCCTTTTCATTAGCATTAAGTTGTTTCTCTCTCTTTTAGATACAGGTAAAGCAAGTGTGGAGGAATCCAAACACTCCAAAATCATTGCTGGCATTTCCTGTGCTGATATTTTCTTTTTCTCTACTATTGGATCTTCCAGTATGACCATATGAAACCCAGAAGATATGATGCTGCTACAGCATGATAAAAATTCAACAATCTGTGTCATTAGGGTCTTGGGAGATAAAAAATTTTTTCGACAACCACTCTGTGGAATATTAAATATCTTCGAAACTGGTATTTTTTTTGCCTTCATAATTATCCGTGTGGGACTCATTTTTCTTTTTATGACTCTAGATGTAAATGTCTTTCTCTGCCTTTTGGATTCAGGTAGATCAATTGTGGAGAGTCTGGAAGATTCCAGTACAGCTGCTGCCTGTAGATCATCTTTAAACCCTGCTTTTTCCTCTTTACCTTGGCTGTGTGGTTCCCTCACATGCTTCCCGTCAATTGGGATGCCATATTTTTCTGTGCTAATTATATCTTCACCAACTGATGATTCCTCTGAGTTTAGAAAAGGAATCTTTAAACTTGTATATATCATGCCATTTTGAGTCTGGAGGTCTTTCTTCAAGTTCTGTCCTTGCCCTGGATCTGTGGATTGAATCTGCTGTGGGACATCTTGTTCTGTAACAATCAGAATTTTCCTGCTTCCTTGGTTTTTTGACTTACAATGGTCATGATCCTTCCTCTGGCCTGAATAGAATACAAAATGTTGACTGTATTGTGGAATTACTTTTAATAATGCTTCCTGTTTACGTTTTTCTTTCTCTTGATCTTGAAGCTTGGTTTCTTTGATGTCATCTGAATTAACATTCCTTTGCTTTACTTTTGTAGAACTGAGTTGTTTTTCTCTTGTGCGTCTTCTTCTTTCTATTTTGTTGTACATATTAATATCAGATGTAATAGTTGCTGAAGAGTACATTTTATCTGCTACTTCTTTATTTTGATACATGTCTTTCATTTTAGTTAAGTTCCCTACTGATTTTTTCCTACAGTTTGGACTAGTACAACCCTTGATATTGAGCATGTTTGAAACTGGTAATTTCTTTGCCTTCCTAGTTCCATATTTGAGATTCACTTTAGTTTTCATGTCTGAAAATTGTTTGAAGTTTCTCTTCCTTTCAGATGTAGATAAAGCTGGTGTGTAGAAAAGAACGGCCACTGTTCCTTTATTTTCATTACTATCAGCCTGTTCCTTGTGACAGCTTACATCAGATGGGGCTCCACCTTTTTTTGCAGAAACAACCTTTGCATCCCTAGATTTTGGAGGTGAAAACCTAACCCAAGTCTCCAGCTTTTCAGAATGAAATTGATCTAGCATGGGGCATGAAATAGAACGCCAGATAGTTGATGCAGGATGTGTCTGTGGTTGTACCTGTGTATTTGTACTTCCTGGTTGATACAATTTCTCACCAAATTCAACAAGGCCATGATCTCTCTTCTGATGTGTGCTGAATATGAAGCCATGACTACTCTCTGGAAGCTGTAAAGCTTTAGGTTCCCCTTCCCTCTCCTTTCCACATTTCAATCTGTTAGAGAAACTACTCATATAAGTAGCATCTAGGCAATATACTTTTCTTCCACTTAGTGATTTCTCTTGCATTAACTGCATATAACCAAATCTTGCTATTCTTCGCACATTTATTCTCCCCACAGTTAAACTCCTCCTCATTTTGATGTTGGGCAAAATGGTCACCTTGGAGAGAATGATGTCCCAAAATGTATCTGCTGCATTTTCTCTTTGCTGTGGGCCTTTCATCTTCATTTTAATATTGCTCTGCAGTTCCTTGCTATATCTGCCATTAAGCGTATTTAAGATTGATGGCTTTATTTCCCTCATAGTTCTAAGTCTGCGACTCTCTGGTCTTTGCCTCCTTGCTAATCTTAATGTCTTTTTCTGCCTTTTAAATTTAGAAACACAGGGTGATATAACAGAATCAGAAGATTGCAGGACTGTCACTTGCACATCCATTGGCACCTCTGAATTTTTTTGCATAAAATATGAATCTAGTTCCCTGTTAGGGTTTCCACCAGATGGCAAGCCACAGTTTATCACTGTGTTAAATTCATCACATGATGAGTTTCCCACTTGGAGAGGTGGAATCTTAGGACCCATAGGGACTTCTATGTCATTTTGCATTTGGTTGGGTTTCCATAATTCAGCTTCTGTGGGATCCTTTTTGAGACTAGCCTCCAAAGTAGTTTGTGGGAAAACTGCTTGGTGCTGCACACCTTGCCCAATAATAGGTAGCTCCTGTGTTAAGCAGCTTATCAGTGATAGGTTTGGTTCATCAAGGTGGGTTTTCTTTATTTGACATGCATCAGACCACAGGTGTTGGCTCTCCTGTGGAGCTACTTCTAGGGAAGCTTTTTGTTCCTCCTCCTCTTGGAAAACCTCTCTCTCATGGACTACACTACTCTTAGCAAAGACATCAATATACTTTTTACTTGCCAGTTCTCCTTGCTTCATCTGAGCTTGAGAGTACTCTCCTGGCAATGTTTCATATATGGGAGAGTAGAGGGCGTTTAGACATTCGGGTACCAAGTCTTTAATTGGGTTTATCTTTGTAACCTTGTTTTTAAAGTCCAATTTCTCTCTATGGCTTGTGATACTGGAAATTTGTGAGACTGGTGGCTTCATTTTCATGCATTTGAATTTCACTGTATTTGTCACGTTTGCAAATCTTACTCTGTTTTTCTTCCCTTTAGAGTCAGACCGCACAGGCATGCAGCAACTAAAAGTTTCTGGGGAAGTTTCTTGTAAATCTTTTGGTAATTCTGCTTTTTCTCCTGCAAAATGGTGATCCATTTCCCTTGTATCACTCCTAATACTTGGAACATTATTTTCTTTTGTTTGATCAAAAGGGTCTCCCCTTAGTGATTTTTCTGATATTGGAGGAGATATCTCCAAGCCTGCTGTGCACTGGAAGTCAGTCTGTGTTGCTAGGCTTCTCTTCAAATTTTCAGTGTGAGGTGGAGCCATTCTAAGGGACTCAACAGACTCCTTCATGGTTTCAGTAAATGGGACTGGTTGATGCATTTTTTTCTCTGCTTTACTCTCCTCCATTGTATGTGCATAAGGGACTGCTTTTGGTAGATGGTCTCTGACCTCATTCACTTCATCTTGCAAGTTAGCTTTTAGTGTGTTTTGAGATTCATTTTCCTTATTAACATGGGATCTCTCTTGTATGAGACTGATATGAGTGATTTTCTGTGCATTTAATCTGCTATCCATTCTAGCATTAGGCAAAATAGACAAGTGAGGGTAGACATCCAGAAGTGCGTCTGCCAAAATTTTGTCTTGCAGCATCTTCTTAACTTTAAAACCGTCTCCCATTTTTTTCCTATGGCTTGGAGCATCATGTCTCTTGGTACAAAGCATTAATGAATTTGCTAACTTCTTTACTTTCATAATTGCATGCCTGGCACTGAGTATATTTTTTGTTCTTGACAGTACTTTTCTGATTTGAGAAGACCTCATAGCAACTGCAGGTAAATCTCTTTTTAAGTGTTCCTTCTCCTCTGTAATATGACCATGCAATGTCTTTCTGGGGTTTCCACCAAAGGGGACCCAACATGCCATTGTTTCAATTAAATATTCACCAGTTGGCAAATTCTCTGGAATGATAAGATTCATATGATCCATAGCACTTTCTTTGCCTGCAGATCTGTCTGTGTTTTGCTTCAGTTTCTCAACTTGAAATGAATCCATCATGGGGCATGGATTCGTCTCCAGAATAGTTTGATTAGAAAGAGTTTGTGATGGTATTTCTTGCTCTTTATTTTGAGATTTTCTATTTCCTGAACAGATTTGTTCCATTTCAAATTTGACATATTTGGGCTTTTGCTTCAGCTGTAGGCTGAACCTGAAGTCTGGGGTCACCTGAGGAACTACTGCTTGTTCCTCTTCTTCCCCTTGTTCACTATCATATTGTTGTGGCTTTTTAGAAGCAGAGCTTCGAATATATTTTGCCTTCTTTGTTCTCTTTGCATCTGGCAATTTTTCTTGCTTTGATGCTGAATGACTTCCCTTTATTATTATTGTTGATGTATCTGTCTTGGCTTTTAATCTGCCGTGCATTTCCACATTGGTTGGTTCAGGAATGGTAGTGTAAGTGGCATTATCAAATGCATCAGATGTCCTTTCATCTTGATGCATATTTCTTATAAAGCTGCCAGTGTTGCACTCCAATTCCTCACTTTCACTCAGGTTACCATTTTCTGAAATATTAAGTCTTAATGGTTTCTTTTGCTTCAGATTGACACTTTTTGTACTCACTGGACTTTTTATGCCTTCTGAGTCTTCACTACTTATATACCTTTTGGTTCCAAGGGAAATGAGTAAATTGACATCTGACATTTCTAGAACAACTTCCAGAAAATCTTTTTGTTGCTGTGTATTTTCCTGTGGAAAACACCTCTGCATATTTAGTGTAGTAGCTGCAAACTCCTCTCCATTTGAAAGTAGTAGATGGGACTCCTCCTTACTTGGTAGATCATCCTGTACTTTCATGCCTCCGTTTGATTTCATCTTAGGAGATGAAACAAGTTTCTGCACAGGTTCCCCTGTTGTTTCTTCTGAAGGCATATCATGGTTTGGAATGTGTGGGTCAAGTGTTTGCTTAAGGTCTTTAGGAGACTCTGTACTCTTCTGGTTTGCTTCTAATAATGTGCAAGATGCCTTTACTTCTTCAGTGTTAACTGTGAAAGATTGTTCTAGCTCAGGTAACATTTTGGGTGAAATGTTTTTTAGTCCTATATTTTCTTTGTCATACAGTTTTACATTTTTAATGATACCTGGGTTTTCTCTCTTAATAGAATCTGCGTACTTGATTTTCTTTTTATCTGGTGACTTATTTTGTTCTTGCAGAAAATATCCACATTTTTGTAAGCATGGCATGCCTGTCACTAGTTTTTTTCGGCAATATTTGTTAATGTGAGGAGTACTAAGCCTGGAGATAGAAATAAGATGCGAAGTTACATCTGATACATCTTTTCTTTGCTGTAATTCTTTCTTGACAGTGTTACTCTCACATTCTAACTCATTCCTGTTTTTTGAAGTGTGACATATTATGAGTTTTGATTCGTGCAAAGGAGTTTTCTTTGCTTTTAGAGATGGAACTTTAAGACTGAGTTTGCTTTTACGATTTGGTGCTTTTCTTCTGTTTTTCTGCCCTTCAACAGTAGGTGGAAGGAGCATTGGGCTACATATAGAATACTGGTTTATTTCTAATAAAGCAACTTGTTGCTGGTCTTTTGGCTTTGCCATCTGTAGTTGTGACATATCTTCAGCAATTGACTGTGGACTAAAAGTTAAAACTAGAAATTCAGCATTCTTACAAACACTTTCTTGCACGTTGATTGAATTTTTAATCTTGTTGGAATCTTCAAACCAAACAGAATATTGGGCGTCATCTAAGTATTCATCAAATTCTAGGCCCTTGATTGAATCTTGTGCCTCAACACAATATGGAGCTTCGGTATAATATAGGCTCCTATCTGTATCTTGGGCCTGGAAGAAGTCTTGTGTGCTGCTGTAAAACGGTTTCTTCATCAAATCTTGAGCCTGAGCAAAATAGCTAGCCCTGATATCAGACTGGCTGTTGACTGATTCTTGGTTGGGAACAAATTGTTGGGCTTGATTAATAAATTGTGTCTCATAAAACTCTTGATTCTGCATAGCATTTTGTTCTGGAAAAAAATCTTGTGCTTGGGTAGAAATAACAATCTCAACAGAATGTTGATCCTGAATCAATGACTCTTGAGGTCGGGAATACAGATAATTACTTATAATTTCTAATGCTCTCTGTTTCAAAGGAATTTGATTTCTCACATTTTCTTCCAAAAGTTTAACTTGGTCTCTAGAAAGAAATAAAAGGGCAGGAGGGCATGGTGCCGTATTGAGATCTTCATTTTCTACAGTGAATATACAAGTTTTTGAAAGCCTATAATCAGAAGAAAACCTTGCGTTTTTATTTTTGTTGGTTTTCATTACTGAAAACAATTTCTTTGAGGAAAATTGTATTGCTTCATATTCATTTTCTGGATGCTCTCTATCACTAAGAAAAATTTCCTTTACTTCTGAACAAAAGAATGACAAAGGTGAGCTGGTCCCAACTGAAGATGGCATGTGACTTTCACAAAAGTGACTTACTTGATATTTACTTTCATTGATACCTGCCCATATTATTTCCTCCTCTGATAAAATTTTGTCTCCAAAGTTACCTTCATTTTCTTCAGATGTAAGGGTTGAAGTAATTCTTTCTGAAAAGACATCAACTCTGAAATAAAAGAAAAATGTGCAAATGAACTACCAATTAGAACATATTTCTCATAAGGACTCACTCTAGATAAATGAAGCTCAGTACCATATACAAAAAGAGGTCAATATAATGATGAAAGGAAAGATTACAAAATTACAGATTATCACAAAATATTTCACTACATAGTTCTTTTCATTTAATAAATCTATCAAGTGTGATTTAAAAAGTGAAAGAAAATCATGTTTATATCTCAGAGAATGAGAGAATTTTTATTGTAACTTCTCTCAAAATCTATTTTTGACAGCAATGAGTCAAAGTGGCCAGATAAGATTGCATCCTTTTATAAAGAATATCAATCTGTTTCTGTTCTCTATATAAAATTTTAAAAGAAAACATCCTTATGGAAATTTAATAGGTACAACAGAAACTGTCCAATCATGTAATCTGTAGCTTTCTATAGACAGAGTATCTTAAGAACAATGATTAATGGAAAAGCCTACATCTGGGGGAAATACTTCTCAGTACAATTTTGGATTGGACTCATGAAGGAGAAACATCCATGGCAGCTGATCTGCCAAAATCCCAATATCCATCTACCTCAAATGATCAGTCTCAATTTAATGAGTGCTCAGACCAATAGCACTACTTGGAAAGATGGTTAATGTTATGATCATGGTGCCCAGATAAGTGGTCAAACATTATTCTGGATGTTTCTATGAGGGGATAAGATTAACATTTAAAGCACTGAACTTTAGGTAAAGAAGACTGCTCTCCCTAATGTGGGCAGGTCTCACATAATCAGCTGAAGGCTTGTAGAACAAAACAATGGCCTCTCCAGAGCAAGAGAACATTCTGCCAATACAGTTTGTGTATTCATACTGCAGATTTTAACCTGTTAGTTGCCATAACTGCATAGACCAATTTCATAAAATGATTCTATTTATATATACAAACACATCCCATTAGTTCTGCTTCTCTGCTTTTTCTTATCCTACCTGTGCTGAGTCAGAAGCTCTGGGCGTATAGTTTAGTTTTATTTTTATCTTTTAGGGTTTTTTCCCTCCATACTAAGGGGTTATATCCAGGGGTGCTCTATCACTGAGCTATATCCCCAGCTTTTTTTTTTTTTTTTGATAGGATCTTGCTAAATTGCTGAGATTGGCCTTAAAGTCACAATCCTCCTATCTTAGCCTCTAGAGTTTCTGGGATTCTGGGCATTATACCACTGTGCCCAGCTAGAAATCTGCCCTCTAAGCGATTCTGATGCATGATAAATTTTGAAAAAAATCCCCATTTCATGAAAGAACAAATCTAAAGTGAAAAACTGAAACTAAAATAGGCAAGATAACTCACTAGCTATTTGTGAAACACAGATTATCTCCTAGTTTCCTGGAGGTGTGACCTTACTTTCATTAATATCCTTCAATCAAAAAAAAAAAAAAAAGTAAAGGTAGTATAAACCATCATCATGGTTTATGCAAACATAAAATCATTTGTTAAATCTCATTAATTTGGATTTGGCTAATTAGAATTTGGGAGATTTTAGACTATGTTGCAATACAAAAATATTGGGTGAATATTTAAAATATGTTTTGTAGCTTTCAAGTTCCCTCAGTTGTTATTTTTTTAATCTAACATACAGGCTGTGTTATGGGTTAAATTGTGTTCTCCCAAAATTCATTTGTTGAAGTCTTAACTCTAGTAACTCACAATATACCCATATTTGGAGACAGGGATTGGAATGGGAAATTAAGATTAAATGAGGCCATATGGGTGGTTCCTAATTCATATGACTATATTTGGATATATTGTATTTCACTGAACAATTGTCATTTTATGCTATTTTTTTTCTTGGCAAAAAAGTGGGGGTGCAACATTATGTGAAGGTTTCTTTTTTTTTCTTTTTAAATTGTGCGGATATTACTTAATCATGTATTACTAAACTGTATTACTCATGAATATACATCAGTGCAGCAGCGATGGTTATGCTGTGAAATACAGTAAGGGCTTAAAAAGTAACAAATTTAAACTAAGGTCTGTAGGAGGGGCCCTAATCCTATATGCCTGGTGCCTTTTAAAATAAGAGAGAAATTCTGAATTTAATAAAATAAAAATATCCTGCATTTAATAAAAAAAGGCCAGAGAATGAAAAAGGAAGTGAGATGGGGTGAAGTTAATCACTTAACAAGCTAGACCTAAAGAACTCAAGATTTTTTTGCACTGTTGAATGCACATTACTGTCTTAACCCAACTCCAATCATGACTCTGTAGATGCTGCTGCATCTGCTCACAACCCCACACAATCCAGAAGCAACAATAACTTCTCCTTCTGGCTTGCCCTCCTATCCTACAGCCTTCCTGCTTCATGTAATCACGATCCTCCCGCCTAAGATGTAGGTTCAATGTAAAAAACTTAGACCTGCCTTACCCAAATTTTAATAAAAATATCTTTAAATGCTCTTAATTCTAGTCCAGAGGACATTTTCCCATCTGCTTACCTAATCTTGCTGCTGGGGGCTATGGGAACTTGTCACAGAACTGGTCTGTCCTTTCTGGCTAGCATTTGTAATGGTTCAATAAGCCCTTTTATTCAGAGTTCTCAGTGTTTAGAGTTTTGATGTAACTTCTTACTAAGAAGAAGAATTTGGACAAACAGACATATGTGTATTGAAAAGAGACCAAGTGAGAACATAGCAAGAAAGTGCCTGCCTGGGGCTGGGGCTGTAGCTCAGTGGCAGAGCACTTGCTGAGCAAGCGTGAGGCACTGAGTTCGATCTTCAGCACCATATAAGTAAATAAATAAAAATAAAGGTAACAACTAAAAACATACATATTAAAAAAGAAAGAAAGAAAGTGCCTGCCTGTAAGTCAAGGAAAGAGGGCTCAGGAGAAACCAGACCTGCTGATACAATGATCTTGGACTTATCAGCTCCAGAAAAATAAGGAAAGAATTTCTGTTTTTTATGTCACCCAGTCTGTGGTACAATGTTATGATAGCCACAGAAAACTAATACAGGCTGTACATACCATTTTTGTTATCTACCCATTACTTTTAGTATATAGTCCTTGGTACCAAGGTCTGTCCTTACAACTAAGTCAATGTTTTACATCAAAATGTGTACTCTCCAACACACAGACTACCTGAGATAATGAGGCTCAGGCTAACATAGGAATCAAATGTCCAAGAGATTAGTGTAGGAATAGGTATGATCTAATCCCAGGATAAGGAAATACTAAAACAAACCATTCCCCAATCCAATATAAGATCAGCAGCTTTCCTTGCTCACTGAAATCATGCCAGGCCAGCATGGCTTTCCCTGCTTTCACATAGTACCTTTGACAATTTGTTATGTTATTGTTCATTATTGGACAGCAACCCCCCCCCAAAAAAAAAAAAAAAAAGAAAAAAGAAGGCAGGAATCTCTGTTTTGTTCACTAATGTACCTAAAGAGCCTAGAACAATGCCTGGCAGTAAATATTGCTGTGTAGTCAGTCATTCCCCACCAGGCTTCTCCTTCCTCTAAAACAAGATGATGTGAATATACAATCCAACCCTTTCCTCAATTTCATATAACTGGAATAAACTACTCATAAATGTGGCTGACTTTACTGAGAATCTTGAGGCAGACACAGATTGGTTTTTATAGGAATGGATGTAGCTCCTACTTAAGCACCAGGTATGTCTTCCCATTTGTGAAATGTCCTTTAGCCTCTGCCTCACCAGAAAATCTGCACTGGCCTTTGAATTTGATAGGAACACCCAGTCTTCCTAGGAAAAGACTGATAGTTGTATAGCCATGTTAAGTAGTAACAGAGCTGGTTTTAAGTCAATTAAATCCATCAATGGCAGCTCAATAGTCAGTAAAAAATAAACATCCAATCTGCTTTTAAACTATTTTATCAATGATAACTCACTTCAGGAAATACACTTCTGAAACCAACAGTCAGTGACAGGTTCAAGCTTTGAAAGTCAAGTAACTGATAGTAGATTCTCCAATGATATGTACCTATAGGCAATGCCAACTCTGAAATAAGCAATCCCCTAAATCCCATGTAAAACCAGCAATTTGTTTTCTTACTGAGATTATGCCAAGCCAGTTTGGCTCCTCTGATTTCAGAGGTGGATCTATCCTTCAGGCCACACAGACCTGAGTCTCACACCAATTTCAATTGCATCTCCTTCCCTTATGTGTTGCCCCATTTTTCTCTTTCTTCCATTTTATAAGCTAGAAAAAAATCTACTCAGTGGGTCTCTAATGCAGTGTACTAACCATTTTGTGGTTTGGGCTTCTAACAATATTCAAACCCTTCTATTTCAAAATAATCTTTTTCAAAAATTTTATTATTATTAAATTTTATTTTTTATTTATATATGACAGAATGCATTACAATTTTTATTACACACATAGAGCACAATTTTTCATATCTGGTTGTATACAAAGTATATTCACACCAATTTGTCTTTATTCATGTACTTTGGATAATAATGATCATCACGTTCCACCATCATTTCTAACCCAATGCCCCCTCCCTTTCCCTCCCACCCCTCTACCTATCTAGAGTTCATCTATTCCTCCCATGCTCCCTCTCCCTATCCCATTATGAATCAGCCTCCTTACATCAAAGAAAACATTCAGCATTTGGTTTTGGGGGATTGGCTAACTTCACTTAGCATCATCTCCTCTAACTCCATCCATTTACCTGCAAATGCCATGATTTTATTCTCTTTTATTGCTGAGTAATATTCCATTGTGTATATATGCCACATTTTTTTTTTATCCATTCATCTACTGAAAGGCATCTAAGTTGGTTCCACAGTTTAGCTAGTGTGAATTGTGCTGCTATAAACATTGATGTGGCTGTGTCCCTGTAGTATGCTGTTTTTAAGTCCTCTGGGTATAGACCGAGGAGAGGGACAGCTGGGTCAAACAGTGGTTCCATTCCCAATTTTCCAAGAAATCTCCACACTGCTTTCCAGATTGGCTGCACTAATTTGCAGTCCCACCAACAGTGTATACAAGTGTACCTTTTTCCCCACATCCTCACCAACACTTATTGTTGTTTGTGTGCATAATAGCTGCCATTCTTACTGAAGTGAGATGAAATCAGAGTGGTTTTGATTTGCATTTCTCTAATTGCTAGTGATGATGAACATTTTTTCATGTATTTGTTGATTGATTGTATATCATCTTCTGAGAAGTGTCTGTTCAGGTCCTTGGCCCATTTATTGATTGGGTTATTTGTTTTGTCGGTGTTTAGCTTTTTGAGTTCTTTATATACCCTAGAGGTTAGGGTATGAGGGGTAAAGATTTAAGACTCCTGTGGTGCAAGAATTAAAATCAAGAATCAATAAATGGGATGAACTCAAAAAAGTTGAATCAATAAATGGGATGAACTCAGAATGGTGTGCAATTTAAAACTTAAATGGGAAGAACTAAAAAAGTTCTTCTCAGCAAAAGAAAGAATCTATGAGGTGAACAGAGAGCCTACATCTTGGGAGCAAATATTTACCCCCAAACTAATCTTTTAAGATGCTATTTCAAATACAGTTCTGTTCCAGAAAGGAAATTCTGGTGCTAGGATAAAATATTTGTGCTTTGTTACAGATGTCATTTTAACCAATCTTGATGATAACCCTAACAGTTTGTTCTAACTCCTACTTTGAAAATAAGGAGAAAGGGGGTATAGTGACTTTAGACTATTAGCCCAAATCCATGCCATCAGTTAAAAGGCAATATGAATTTATACCATTTTTATTCCAATATTTGGAGTTTTCCCCACACGATGCTGCTGTACAGGAGCTGTATCTCTTCCCTAATACTTTTCTTTATGTCATTGCACTAATCTCTTCTTCTACAGTAGCCCACCCTTATTCCCAAGACACCTCTGATAATACCAAAACCTATATATACTATCTTTTTCTTATAATATCTACCTATGATGAAGTTTATTTAAATATTTATTTGTGGTGCTAAGGACGGAACTCCCTAGAGTTTAATTTATAAATTAGGCCCACTAGTAGATTAACAACAATTAATACTAAAGTAGAAAATTTAAAAAAAAAATTTAGATGTTGACGGACCTTTTTTATATTCATTTATTTGTATGTGGTGCTAGAATCAAATCCAGTGTCTCACACATGTGAGGCAAGCCCTCTACCCTGAGCCACAACTCCAGCCCCCTAATGTAGAAAATTTAAACAATATACTATAATAAAAGTTATGTGAATGTGGTCTCTTTCTTTTTCAAAAAATCTTGTTTACTTTCACCTTTTCACTTAAAGAAAACACTGTTTGGCTCCTCTTTTGCATATCTACTATTGCCAGCCTCACTGCTCTCATAAAGATGACTTGAACAGCTCTGTGATACTGTAACAGTCAAGCTGATATCCAGGACAGCTACTTAGTGGCTAACAGGAAGATGGCATATAGATAGCCTGGATATGCTGGACAAAGGGATAATGCACATCTTGGGCAGAACAGAGAGGGTTGGCGTGAAATTTTATCATGTTACTCAGAATGGTGTGCAATTTAAAACTTAAACTGTTTATTTCTTCAGTTTTGTTCATTTTTAGACCATGGTTGACACTGGGTAACTGAAATCACAGAAAGTAAAATCTCAGTTCAGGGGTGACTGCTATACCCTCCGTTAGTATCCCCTAGAAAGGAGCTACTGAAGAATTAATCCTGCCTAGATAGGAAAGGAAGCTTGGCATGAAGAGTGGGCAGGCTCTTGTCTCCTTGACTCTGAAGGAGAAAATCTTTCTCTCCCATTTCTGTGGAGATTTCCTCTTACCTGTGAACCCTTTGGCTTTGAATTCTATGTGAAGCTTGGGTCATAGTGTTCGCCTTAGCCCTGAAATGCCTCAAACATTGACTCGGTCAGTATAGCCGGGACTATTCTGTGTGACTGAGGTGCCATAGTCACATCCCAGCTCCCCACCTGTCCCAACACAGATCCTATCCATCTGTACCTTCAGAGAGTGCTCCAGCTTCTTAAGATACCCACTTCATAACTATAGCTGCTAGGACCCAATACTACATAAAGTGACTTGAATAAATTTTAAAAGCCCTATAAACTGGCACATTAAAGAAATTAGACTAACGCAAAGCAATCTTTTATTCATTCTTCAAAAAAGATAGTGGAATGAACCGGACATAACTTTCCTATGTTTATACATGAATACACCACCAGTGAAACTCCACATCACGTACAACCACAAGAATGAGATTCTAATTAAAATATGTCATTCTCCAGGTGTGTACAATATGTCAAAATATACTCTACTGTCATGTGTATAAAATGAACTAAAAAAAAAAAAGAACAAAGACAAAGAAAACAAAATAGCAACAAACTTTGGGATCTACAAAGTAGATATGTACTAACTCTTAGCACACAATTTTTGGAGTTTTCATTTTCTTTCATCACATTCACAGTTTTCAAGGTAACTAACTGATCAGTTAATGTGCATAATGTTGTTTTGTCTAGTGATTTTTCATTATTAGAATGACATTATTCGTGTTGGTAGAGAAACAATAGTATATTTTCTTCTTAGTGCCTCAATACATGTTATTGATAATTGATAACTGATAATTCCCAACTTGATTCTTGGTTTACATGTGTTGTTTGACAGATTTAACTGTTAAATTCATTATTTTTCCCTTTGTAATCAAACCATTATTTTGAAGCTATGTAAATATCTTGTTTCTCATAATAATTTCTCCACCTGGTTTAATCATGCAATGGCAAATTTTGCCTGTATCAATTATTACTGTGATGTTTGTTTAGTGAAAGTTTACTTTGTTTTTTCAGTTGTTGATAGACCTTTATTTTATTCATTTATTTATATGTGGTGCTGAGAATCGAACCCAGTGCCTCACACGTCTGGCAAGTGCTCTACCACTAAGCCACATCCCCAGCTCTGATAGTTTTCTCTTTTTTAATTATTTCTATATTCATCAAGTGGCATTTTGTAGTAAACATCTATCTGGATGCCACAATTTGATTACCTGAATGCAAATATGAACTTTTAGATATTTATTTAAAAAAAAAAAAGTGGTCTTGCTAAAACACAAGCTCCTATGCTTTAAGCAGCTTTAGGTGGTCACTGTCTACAGAGTCTAAGCCTCTTAACGTGGTGTAGAGAGCCCTTCATGATTTGATCTTGTCTACCCCATCACATCCATCCCCCACTACTATCCCTGACTGAATGTTAATATTACAGCAACTCTGAAATAACTGTCCATTTCTTTCACATAGCCTGCTGTTTCTTACTTCTTCACCTTTGCTCATGTCTGGAATGCCTTTCTTATCCTCCTCACTCTCTATTTCAGGCTAATTTTCACTGGTCCTCTAAAATTCAGCTCCAGCATAACCTTCATGAAACCATTCCTGAGATCCTAAGGCTGGTGTGAGTACCTCCTAAATGTTGTCATATTTGTCACTGTTACTGCACTGCAAGGCAAGTAGCCTTTGTGTATGTCTCTCCACAAAAATATAAGCCTCTTGAGATCAGAGAGTATCTTACCTTTAATAACCCACGATCAAATATATATAGTGTCCATTATATAGTAGATACCTAATAATGGTTGAACAAATTTCGATGAAAACAACTAAAATATTGATAGCAACCATAGTAGTGATGATGTCAGTATTTCATCCCTAGCACTGAGCTACCTTTAGCATGCTGATAAGATTCTGATCTTATAAAGTCCTTTTATGTCAATTTTGCAGCACCTAGTGTTGACCTGGTCCACAGTAGATGCTAAATGAATTTGCCTTTTTTCTCTCTAATGGAGTATAAGAAGTGGTGGTAACAACTGCTTTGTGTGTAGTGCGAAAGAATTTATAGTAAGAAAGCAAGTCAGTGAGTCTCTCCAAGCTTCATTCCTCCTTATCGGTAAAAACAAAAATATTACCTACCTTGAAGGATCTTACAAATACGCAAAAAATCCCTAACACAACTTGGAACTAACAATCACTTAAAAGAAATGTTAGATTGAATTCTAATGTTGAACAGCTATAGTACCTTATACATATGAGAAAATCTTCTGAAATTCAGAAGGAAATGTACTTTTTAATAGAATGCAACCAAACCATTTCATTTAATTTCAAAATGTGTCACTTACCCTTCTTCAGAAGATGGTGGAATGATGGACTGATTCCCTAGAGCTAAATGGGAATCAAAAAGTCACAGTATCAGTGGAAGTAATTCATGCTAAATAAATTTCATATTAAAATATGAAATTCTGTGATATTTACCAAATTTCTTCCTTTTCAGGCAACTACTATCTTCACTCTATTCCAGGAGAATAAATGAATAAATAAATATTATTAGTAAAGTAATCTAAATATCAGTTAAAAAATGGTACTAATTATTCTGATGTGTAATTCTGAAAAATAGGAGTGGGAGAAGTCAACATCTGTTCTTACCTCCCAGGAAACTGAACTATCTATTTCTGGAAGCACCGTCTTCTTAAAGAACGCACAAATTTTTATGAGTATTATTTCAAAAATAATGCCTAGGAAAATTATAAAGAAGATTGTTGTCCAGTCATTTTGAAAAATCCGGGACTCTAGAAGGTCCATTAATGTAAAAACTGTATTATCTTCCAATGTACCCTTCACTTCATTTTTAAAATAATAATATGGCTTTGACATTTTAACATAGCAGGTAAAATAAATTGGTATCTCATTCAGAAATTCTCCACTTCAGGTGCTCCAAAACACAAAAGTTGGTATGTCCATCTCATAATCACATGCAGAAAAAAAACTTCAGTGGTGTTCAGTGTTTTATCAAATGCAGCAATGATTGCTCTGGGCCTCAGTAATGTGAAGTACGTGTCACAGTGGGTATTGAACTGAGCTCATGTCAGCTTTCTTCAGCAATAATGAAAGTTCACTGGGGAGACATGTACAGTGCTATAGTTTTTTTAATTAAAAAAAGTATAATCAGTCCAGATGCCCATCAATGTATGAATGAATTAAGAAAATGTGGTAAACACATACAATGGAGTTTTACTCAGCCATAAAGAAGAATGAAATATGGTATTTGCTGGTAAATGGATGGAAATGGAGAATATAATGCTAAGTGAAATAAGCTAGATTCAAGGGTTGAATGTTTTCTCTCATATGTGGAAGCTAGAGCTTAAAAATAAGGAAAAGGGTGGCGGGTGAGGATGGATATCATAAAGATATAGGGAAGGTGAGTAGAAAAGGACTTGGAAGGGTGGAAGGAGGGATGGGAAATGGGAAGAAATGTGGAGTGAATTTAACAAACTCACATCATATGCATATTAGATAAACCACAGGGAATTTTACTTTTATGTGAGTGTGAAAAGCACAAGTGTGAGGGGAGGAACTGGGAATGAAACGGAGTGGGTCACATTTCAGGAATGTATAATTCTGCCGGGATGAACTCAGCTACTATGTATAACTAGAATGCTCTAATAAAAATGATAATAAAAATTATCCTCTATTAATTTCATATACAGAAATGCAATTCTAAGATGCAATTCCTTAGCACAGTTGGACTATCCATTCTTATAGTTCAAAAATATAAATAAACTTGAATTGGTAGAAGGCAGTTGATATAATCATTTCTATTATGATCAGTAATAGTGTATTTTATGTTTCTTTGTGGTAAGGAAGATATAGTCCTTTCTTAGAATGAATGTAAGGTTGACAGGTTTAACAAATAAAATACTGGATGCCCAATTTAATTTGTATTTCAAATAAATTCCAAATAAGCATTTACTATAGATATGTGCCATTACCACTATGTAAATTGAGTCTATTTTTAGAACACTTCATTTTATATTTCTTTTTGTTAGAGGGCTCTGCTGGCAAGTTTCCCTTCAACAATCTATTGATATGCCGAAAAACAAAGTTAGACTTTGAACCAGCCTTTATGGTGAATTTCCTTTACACCAGTCCATGGCAATTCCAAGGAGCTACTTGTGATGTCCTTTCAATGTCAGAATTAAGGGTGGGGCAGAGGTAGCTCTTAGTACGGCCCACTTGCCTGAGTCTAGAGGGCAGGCCTGTATGTTTCCTGAGCATACAAAACAAGTTTAGTCAAAAGCAGAGTTAGTCTTAGTTAGTAATGAATACTGTTCCTTTGAAGGTAAAACAGTTCCTTTGGAGATGAACAGTTCCTTCTTCAAAGGAACAGTACTCCATACCTCCTCTGGCTTTACTTTTGCAAGACGGGTTAAGGAAAGAAGTACTATTTGTTCTACTGGAGTAAATGGTTCAGGCCTTCTCTGAGCACAGTGAAAATTGACTTGAGTTCTTATTTCCCTTGAGTACCAAGGATCACAAATATCATAATTTACAGTCAACTATACTATTTGTCCAGGTATCTGTAATCCTCAGTTAGGTTAAACTTAGTTAGGTTAAACTTGGGTTTTGTATTTACAAAAAATAGTGCTCCAGAATGTATGGTAGGTATTATTTAGCTCTGGATGAAACTTTAGCAATTTCTCTCAATTTTTCTAGCACTGTAATAAAGCACACCCTCTTTTCTGTACCCTCCCGCTTATTTAAGCTGAGTGATTTTTAAAGACCATCCCCCCCCCTTTCTTGTGTTTTTGAGTTTTTTTATTTTAGTTTTATGGGGGGGGGGTGATTTTATTCTGCTTAGGTTTTCCTTTAAAATTTAAAGCATCTAGTAAAAATTCAATTTCTTTCACCTACTTTCAGAAATTCTAATTTGCTTAATGTTAACTTTCATAAAGGGGCTTTGTTATTTCAATACTTTAGTTACTTAAATCCTTCCAAGCTTTATGGTACTGAGTCCCTCACTAGGATCCCATTGCATAGCTTATAAAAACTGAAAAGGAGCTGCTGCTTACTGCTCCTGATAGAAAATTAACATGGGTTAATATTATTCCCCTCCAGTGCTTCACTGTTTTATTACTCATGTTCTTATTCTTGCCTACTAACAAAAGTATAATCGTCTATTGTTCAGCACAGATGCTTCTATCCCTTGTACTAGAACTGATTTTTAAAAAAAACAGATTTAAACAATCATGAAGTTAAAACAAGAACATCAGAGAAAGCCCATTTCTAACAGTAATAAAGAAAAGAAACTACAAGAAAACACTCAAAAAAAATTCGAAAACTCTGTATCTACCAATGTCACATTATTTTTCTGGTGCTCACTGCTGGGGCTCAAACCCCAGGCCTTGCAAACACAGGGAAGTGTTCTACCTCTAAGCTATATCACCAGCTCATAAAACTTTTAAAAAAATTTTTTTGCTTTAAAATATTTTATTAGATTTTTTTTCATAACACTTGTATAAGACAAAATATAGAACATCTATGCCACTGACCTTCTATTTTTGCATAAAAAAGTAAAATAAAAAATAAATTATAGATGAATACTGTCTACTTGATATACAAGTGTTCTCAGTTTAGAACATGGAACATGTTTCTAGAATCTGCCTAATATCAGATAGAGAACATCCTTTGATTCAGCAAAATCCTAAAAATTTCATACAAGGAACACATCAGAACCCTTGCAGGCAATTGGTAGTGAAAACATGAAGCTGGATGTGTTGGGGAGGTGCTACACAGGATGGAGGGGAAGCAGAAGAGTGGATAACGGGTTTCCAAGATCCTCAGAGAAGGGGCTGGGGTTGTGGCTCAGCAGTAGAGTGCTCGCCTCGCACATGCAAGACCCTGGGTTCGAGCCTCAGCACCACATAAGAATAAATAAGTGAAATATAGGTATTGTTTCCAACTACAACTAAAAAATAAATATTTAAAAAAAATCCTGAGAAAAGCTGGGAGAACATAGTACTTATTGAATTTTTTTTTTTCCCTCCCAGAACTAGGGGGTTGAAACAAATCTAAGGCCTCCAAATACTAGGCAAGTGCTCTACCAATGAGTAATATATATCCCCAGCCAATATCACATTCTTTGAACTATTTGGACTTTATAAGCCAGGTTTTCTTTAACAGAAAAGTTTCAATGACAGGTATATAAAACAGGAACATAAAACCAGGGATTGTTCATAATGATTACAAATATTCCTTCTAATTACCTTATTTCAATGCAACAAATATTTACTGAGTAAAGAAGGCACTGAACACAGAAAAAGTGCTTCAAAGACAAGTGAAATATAGTTCCCGACTTGTTGAAGTTTGTAATACAAATAGGATGCTGCACATGTATTAATAATAGGAAGGCAGATTGTGACAAAGATATTTATTTTGGAAATCATTCAAAGAAAGTTGCAAAGAGAGAAAAAACTGTTTTAAGGATGAGTAACACTTAAGAACAGGCAAAGATCAAAAGTTTCAGTAAGAGACAGATTTTCCTTTATACAAAAGCTTTCTGTAATCCAGGTAGCTATAGTGCTGAAACAGGTTTGAGTATGAAGAGGAAAAAGGCTAAACTGTTGATAGGGTGCTATTATAGAATGTCATTCAAGATTTGGGGTTGGTAAGATCAATTTATTAATCAAAGCAAAACGACAATAAAAGAGGAAAATCAATTAGGCTACTGCAATTACACAGATGAAAATTGATAAAGGCTTCAACTGAATGATGGTGGTACCAATAGCAAAGAGATGGAAGCAAGAGAATTTTAGACCCTGAAAATCCAAGATTTAGCAACCGAAAGGAAACAAAGGGGCATGTGGAGGAGCTAATGGGTAATAACCCTAACATTTAAAGCATTTAAAGATAATCCCGAAACTGGTATGCCTAGGACAGAACTTTTCATGGCACTAGTGACATCTTGAATGGAGCACTTCTTTGCTGTAGCTGTTGCCCTGCATGGTAAGATATTCAGCAATATCCTTTTCTTCTACTTATAGGATGTCACAGCACCACTTCAGTAGTGACAAGTTTCCAGACATTGCCATATGTCCCCAAAGGGCAAAAATCACCCCCAGCTGGAAAGCACTGGACTAGCTCGATGAGCAGCTGCATCATTAATTAGTGCCTACCTGTGAAGGCTATATGATGGCTTCCATAATCTTTGGTAAGCCTTCTTATAACTGCATAGCCTTGTTAATAACTTTTAAAATCCATTTGTCTTAGTATTTTATAGTATGTTCAATTTGTAATAAGTTGTCCTTTGTCTTTTTGATTAGTTTTACTTCTGGTTCTCAGTGTTATTCCCCAGTTGATTTGTAGTTGTTAACAGATCAGTGATTATGTAGACATCTAGATTGTTTTCATACCCATATCATTTTAAATATGAACTGTTAACTTTTTTTTTTTTTTTTAATTTAGGTTTTCTTCAGGAAATAAATTGGTCTCAGAGCAGATATAGGAGTTTTGGATTTGTAGTTGTACTTCACTTCATTCTATAACATGAATGATCTGGATGCTATTACCTAGGTTTTCATTCTTTATGCAATATTTTCTAAAATAAAATAATTGCTTTTACCATGGCAGGAAGAAAAGAGGAACCTCAAAAATCTACAAGTTGCCCACACCATCTGAGGCTAGAGTAAATTCTTTATAGAAAACCATTCCTTGCTACACATTTTCTTTATAAATTTAACTTCATTATTTTTGCATTTTAGATTTTATATTCTCAATACCATTTCAAGTTCAGTTCAGGAGATACCTGAATTTCCCAAGACAAAAATTAAGTGCCCCAACTCTGCCTACATATTATATGTTAGTCCTACCATGTAGTC